AATCCCTTAACAATTATAAATTGAAAATAAATTATTATTTTTTTTTTTCTTTAATTAATTATTATTATATTTTTAATCTAATATCTTGCACAGACAACGACTTAGAATTATTTCAATAAATTTATTTAAAACAAAACTGTTGTATGCACATAAATAATAAAATTTAAGTTAAAAATATATTAAAGTGCTTCTCATTGCAGCCTTCACTACTTTCGGCAAAGGGTATGTTAGGTTATGTCAAGTTTGTATGTTAGGTTTGTACGGACAGGTGATTCAGTTCGGTTCCAGAAGTCTGATCCACCGGTCCTTTCCGTCTGATATCTGGCCATGTATTCTACTGTTCAAACTACAGTAATTTTCGAGATATTTTGGTGAAATATGGTGCACTGACGTATTACGGCTCAAAGACGCCCGCAATTGGAAATGGTTCAGATCGGATCATTCATTCGAGCACTCCTTACATTAGTACTTTAATTTTTATTGCTCGATAAAAGCCATTGAGTAATCTATTTCCATATTCTTAATTGGAGTGAAAGGTTTTAATCGAACGGCGCAATATTCCGAACCCTTTACCATATAACCTTTCCCATGGAAAGTAAATCCTTTTTAATAAAACGGCCTAATGTGCAATGCTTTTTGATGATGAAGTTCTTTCATAAAAATAATTTTATATAAAAATTGACCTTGCAGAATTTGGATCGTATGAGTCTATTTTTTGAATCCCAGCCCATATAAGGACTCTAATGAAAAATATGTCTTTATATGGCACTTCTCACTGAATTGAAAATAATCCTTAGCAAATTGAATGTAGGGAATTTAGATCATGTAGGTTCAGGCAAAGCCTAATTTATGGTTTGCTATAACGGAAGCAATTGAAAAATAATAAAATCTTTGACAAGTAAATTCAGTTTTCTAAATTTAGACCACCTTGACGTTACTCACGCTTGCGACTCTTGCACGGCAATCGATCTACATCTTATAAAGTTCAGTCGCCCATCATAGCTGCAAATTGCAGATTGTATAATATTTAGCGGGGCAAAGCCAAAGAAAAACTTTACACTAAAGACCGATTGCTACCGGTTTTGACACTTGCTTTAATTTCTTAAGTATTGTTAAAGTACGGCAGGTTCCTTATTGGTTGATGACTGTACATTATCAACGAGAAATAGATGGCTTGCGCGTAGTTAAAACAATGTTCGGTCGCGTTAACATCTGTGTTCACATAAATGGAGCAGATTTTCATTTCGATTAGCATCTTCGCTCTTCGGAATATGTAGGGTGCAGCTGCGAGTACCGGTCTTTCTATGGGTAATTAATAAATGGGAATTTTCCTTTATGCAAGCAATTTCAAGAGAAACTGCTTAATAACTATTTTGTTAATTTCCTTTAACGGTAATGTCATGCTCCTGGCACTTCAAGGGACGGTTTAACCAGAACGATGCAAGCGTAAAATAGCTAACATCGTATTTGTTTTTATAGAGTCATTTTAAGGGCAAATAAATGCTGTTTTTCATACAATTAAATAAGAGATTTCAAATTTATATAAATATATGTAAAAATTAACGCTCTTTCCGATATCTCTCCTTATTCGGGTTTGCACAGAAAAATATTCTCCTGGCCCACGTCACTTCTGAATCTAAAGTCCTTCACGGTCGGATAAAATAATGCACTATCTACCATCGTGGTGGATAGCAACTAGAGACGCACACGAGATTCTTCGTACCTGATTACCTGAATCTCAGATGAGTCTCCTTGTTAACACATGAAATATATGAAATTGTAAATAAACGAAATAAACAAATTTTGATTTTTGCCACCAATCGCCCACCCATTATTGGACTAGATGCTAGTGCTTAACATTGATTTAACTTGACCGCAATTTCGTTAGCAGACAGTTGGAGTTTTCTAGAAGAAATACATACTAAATAGCACTCCAATATGTAATACACAAAATATTTACGTGGACATATCGCCCAATGTCATTGGAGCTTCACTCGGCCAATGCAGCGCAAACAATAATTCAATCGCGATATTTTAAACCACGCATGGTTGTCCCGTTGCCTATAAGAGTTTAATTTAATTATTAATTATGAATTAAACGTAAACAAAGCAAAATAGGCGCAAACAACCAGTCCTTGAAAGGGTAATGAATGTCTTCACAATCTGTTACAATTTTACGACATCACCGCATAGCAATACAATAAAATAAACTTTTTTTTTTACCTATTATCGAAAGAGGAGTGCATATTCATTTCGTCTCTCGGAAGGAGGCTTTAGACAATATATAAGAGTGATGTACGATTAGTACCAAATTTCAAAACGATTTAAGCGTATTTGTGTGCCCGTCACTCGGCTTCCAAGTAAGCAAAAAGATAGAAATTCCGCGTTATTGTGAAAACCTATTTGCTCATTGCAATGCTGTCTTTTGCTATAAACAACTTTGCTTTGCAATCTGACATTATCGTAGTTGGCCGTGTTCGAAGAAATTTATTTCATATAAAATCTTTGTGAAGAACGTAAGAGTTCTAGAAAAAAAAAAAGAAATTCATTTCATATAAAACGTTTGTGGGGAACGTTACTGCCTGTACGATTCTTTTGCTTTGTTTTTAGTGCATTTGCCGAAAACTACAATAAAAATTATCAATAATTTAATTTGTAGAAAATTTGAAAAGTTATTCATATTTAAAAAGCCGATTGTGGTCACCGGAATACAAAATGAACGGAAGAAAAAGAGAAAAAAACAGAAAACGGAATTCTTCAGCCTATACCAAAAAACCTTTAACAAAAAAACGTACCCTATAAGAGTTCCAGAACAAAAGAGAAATTTTCCATGCTGAGGAAAAAACAAAGTTAAAATAAATCTCGACAAAAAAATAAAGAAGAATAAGTATGAACTATAAATCGGGACTTGTTTGTATCGATGCATGTTGAAATTAAATTTGGTTATGATTTCTTTGGTTTTTCTCCCTTTAGTGCCCGATTCTACGAAGTCGAACGAACGCTGCAGCTGTACGCAACGACAAGCCGATGATTGTCGGTTTTGGTTGTTTGCCGATGTTGGTGTTAAAAAACGTGAAGAGGAGGTAGGTAGACTTGTTTGGGATATGGTGAACATTTTCCTTCACATTTATTATTGTGTTTCACATGAATATTACTTGTCTGTATTTAGATGCGGCTTTCTTGCGAACTTCATAATATTTCCATTTAAACATCATCGGAGCATTGCCTTACTTTGCAAATAGTGAAAACGTGCGACTCTAATTGCGCGAGTACGACTAGTGTTTTAGGCAATTTTGGTAATACTATCGCAACAGCATTAAGGAATAATTCGGCTGCCAGAGATTTGATGTCACCTCTGCAGCAACCTTTGGATGCCTCTCAGCAATATATGCAACAAATGGTATCGATCCCAGTCGCAGGCGAGAGATATGGCAACACATACTACTTGCATACTTGCAACTGCAGCGAGTGTTCATTGACACACGAATTACATGCACTGCAAATTAGAGCATTATCGTAAATTGCGAGGCACTTGGTAAGCAGATCTTAAAAAAAGGTACATCAATAATATATTATTAATGCCATGAACATTTGATATAATTACCAATTTCTTCGATAACATTATACGCCGATACAGCCTGGTTAGGCTGTTTTAAGAACCGGTCGTTTGCTCCCATTTTTGGTCAGCGATAACGACAATCAGAACATCGCGTGGCTTTTCAATGTACTTACGATATATACGCCTAATCATCTCTCAGTAAGCTTTTGTTGTTAAGGCATATCTGATATGTTATAAGCATTAAAAATTGTAGGTATATTAGGTTTGCCCTATATAACGTTTTATTTGGTCAGAAATACACTGGTATTATCGATTTAAGCATCTCGATGTACGGACACCCTTGTGTGTTTTTACTCAAAATGGGTATTAGCCGTGATAGTGCTCATAAGCGCATAGCCACTGGTGGTAAACGCAAACCATTGCGTAAGAAGCGCAAATTCGAGTTAGGTCGTCCAGCAGCCAACACAAAGTTAGGTGCTCCTCGCGTACACAAAGTTCGAACCCGTGGCGGGAATATTAAATTGCGAGCTTTGCGTTTGGGAACTGGTAATTTTGCCTGGGCTTCAGAAGGCATCGCCCGCAAGACACGTATTGCTGACGTCGGCTATAATGCATCCAACAATGAGCTGGTGCGAACCAAAACTTTGGTAAAGAACACCATTGTTGTGATTGATGCCATGCCATTCCGGCAATGGTATGAATCCCATTATGTGTTGCCATTGGGACGTAAACGTTAGCAATAGAAACGCTTTTCTTTTGTTTTTGTTTTGTGTTTTTATATGAGATTTGTGCTTGAACGATCTATAGATATAGATATAGTTTTGATCGAAATGTACATTTTGGAAAATATCACCTCGTTTTTGCCACGTTGCTTATTTGTTCTCCTTCGAGCTATGATTTTGTATATGAAGAATAGGCTTCCAATTCGTCTTTCGTGTTTAATAAATATACTATGATTTTTTTCCTTTGCACACTGTCGCTAGCGATTAAATATTCTCGAAAGATCATTTTCGAAACTTCTGGCTCGCAATTTACCATTATTTCGTACGTAAAAAGTCTTAGTCCCTATAACGAAATTAAATGTAACTATATAGAAGAAATAGAAGAAATGCCATTTAATAAGCGGGGAAGAAATAAGACGAAAAACTCAGTCTTGAAAGTAACGAAAACGGGGCGCGATATATATTGTACAGAAACCTATAGCAAATATTATACTGTCTGCACAAATAGGGGATTTTCGATTGATTTCCTTACCCTATCAAATGACAATGCTTCCATATTGTCATATACAACAATCAGTTCGCTTAACTGTTCAGAGACACTATCCCTCAAAACACATTTCAAGTAAACAGCTTTTTCTGCTCCCATTGATCAAGCAATGTATTTTGTTTTAGCGTTGCTCAATTCCTTTTGGGGGCGCCAGCAAAAAATTGCTCCCTTCCGAAAAAAAGTGCGCCGTATTTATGATTTTTGGTTTTCAGTATCTCCTCCGCGATCAGCTTTAATTTCCCCGTATACCGATTGACGGCTACGTTCTGAAATACTTTAGGACATGCTTTAGACTTCGCTACTATGTATAATCATGTCATGTCTACATAAATTATGAGGCGAGTATATAATGTCATCATTATTGCTAAGATATGCTTCACTTTTTACGAACCCGATGTGTGCAAACACCCACCATCCCGATTGCTTAAGTTCTGCATAGTATACATAGCGGTATTCAATTTTAGAACTTTATTATGATGTGTTTTGTCTCGTGAAATATTTCGGTAGCTTCACGTAAATCCCATCTTTCAATTCGCCATTTAAATAGGTAGTAATAACCTTTCATCTGATGTAAATGTGCATTCTACTGTTGGAGCGATCTAAACATTGTAGCATGCTAAGCAACTCAAAGGGCTATTAACGATATTTGACCAGCTCGCCGAAAATTGGGGGGTTCCTGAAAGTGATTTTGCCCTATAGAATCTTTATAAATTTTTAGATGTGAGT